TCATCTTCTCTCTCTCTCTCCCTTTCTTTTTCTCCCTGTTGTGTCATGTCATCTTAGATCTCTTCCAAATTAAAGTTTACACAAGAGCAATCAAACAAAACAAAAGCATTCTAGTTTAAACTCGCAGACCGGGATGCCAGGGCTCTTGTTTAAATTTTGGCAGAGAGGGCCTTAATTGAGAGATGACAGCTGAAATGTTATTTTTTCCCCTCCTTTTAAAGCAAGAGAGTGCTGTCAAACTGGTGATATCTGTTTCCATTTACACATTAAACACGGCGCACAACACGCTCGCAGCTATAAAGTCACTCGAGACAGAGGCAGCCAGCATGTCTTCTCCAAACCCTCCTGTCAAATATTTCTCTCGTCCGTGAACTGACAAATAAGAAGCAAGCCACCACGACTGGATTGTTACATGTGGCATTAAAGAGATAAAAGCTTGTGATCTGGGTGGCCTCGTATTCTCAGGAGAAGAAATGCATTTCAGGGAGGAAAGAAGAGTAGTAAAAGGAAAGTGGAAAGAAGAGGTGACAATCTACAAAATAGCATCATGCCATTTCTTTTGGAAGGGTCAAGGTATCAAACACAAAGTTTCATTAATTCTTTAAACACTTGTAAATAAAGATCGCAAATTATTTATAATGTGCTTGGAGATAAAATGTAATTAAGAAAAGCTTGTGTATTTAGGGTGTTACATGGCAACACTTTCCCAGAGGAAAATTGTATTGCTCAGAGTTGAGCCTTTTATAACTTAGGAGACCTGGAGCTTTTTGTTATGTTTCATTTATCATTTTTATCTTTTTTTATTATTCTTATTTGTGTATCAGCTTTGTCTCATATATTTCTCCTGAAATATGCATTAAATGGACAAAAAATAGACAGTGAAGACATTTATAATGTTGCAAAAGAGTTCGGTTTCAAGTAAATGCAGTTCTTTTGAACTTTCTGTTCCTCAGAAATCCTGAAAATGAAAAAGATTTCCACAAAAATATTAAGCAGCACAGCTGTTTTCAACATTGATGATAATAATACATTTGTCTTGATCATCAAATCAGCATTTTAGAATGTTTTCTTAAGTATAAGGCTGGAGTAGTGGTTAAATTAAATGTTTAAATATATTAAAATGGAAAACATATATCATAAAATATTTCACAATATTACTGTTTTTACTGTACTTTTGATCAAATAAATGCAACATTGGTGAGATTAAAAATCTTACTGACCCTAAACTTTTGAATGGCAGTGTAGGTTGTAATATTATAAAATTACTGTGCGTTATATACTTTCAGTGTTGGGCAAGTTACTTCCAAAATGTAATACATTATATATTACTAGTTACTGTCTTTTGAAAGTAATTAGTTACATTACAATATTACTGTCTCTGAATTGTAATGCGTTACACTACTTTTGAGTTACTTTTGAGTTACTTTCACCAAAATATCCACAGAAGTATTATAAAATGCCAAAATGTAGTTTATTGCTGCTCATTCTACACCCAGTGGAGGGTAATGTGGTAGGTCTATATAGCATACAATTATAAAATCATATTTAGATGCCGGTATGCAGGTCTACATTAATGTTACGTTGTAGTTTAGGTTAAACACAGATAAGCAGAAACCACATTATTACATTCATAAATAATACCGGTAAATAAAGCGAAATGTTATAATGTACAAACAATAAACACAATACCTAGCCTATAGGCAATTTTGAATGGTTTCAGAAGAAAACAAGAATGAAAAATATAAGTTGCTAAACAAGCCAAAACGAATTAGGCTAATCAGTGGCGGCGCTAGGGCGGGGCTTGACGGGGCCCATCAGAAACTTGCTTAGCCCCGGCACAGCCCCCCCAAGGATTTCCTAATGATGTACCCTTATTTTTGGTGTCGCTTTCATTAACATTGAAAAATAAACATAAAAAAAAAAAGTGCCTAATATGTGGCCTATAAACGATTGATATTATGGGGGCGGGGTCAAGCAACGCGCAAACTGTGCGCAAGAGTTATGCCGGTGAACGTCAGTAAATTCACTATAGAGAAAGTGAAAGTAAAAAAACTGACGGAGCTTTCTAACGCTGCATTAACGGCGCATATTCTCTGAGACAACAAGAGACAAAATTACTTCAATATAGGCTGATGATGGTATATATCTGTCTTAAATTATTCCCTTAATATTTCTCTTGTGGCCCGTATAGTGAAAAACATGAGAAGAAACGTATTTCGCGTTAAACAGGTTGTTTAAATTCCATGGTTATTAAAATGCGTAAAAAGAAATATGATGCGATATGATCAGATCTAAATGTAATGCCGCAATCAACACTTTTCATTTAATTTTCACTTTATTCGCGACAGCCGTAATAGATTTAGTTGGTAACACTTTACACTAAGGTGTCATTTGGTAACATTATTAACTTATATGAACTAACAATGGACAATACATTTGTTACCGTATTTATTAATCTTTGTTAATGTTAGTTAATGCAAATACAATTATTCATGTTTGTTCATGTTAGTTCACAGTGCATTAACTAATGTTGACAAAATACAGCTTTTGATTTGAATAATGTATTAGTAAATGTTGAAATTAACATTAAGATCATTAAATGCTGTAGAAGTATTGTTCATGCTTAGTTCATGTTAACTAATACAGTTAATTACTGTTAACTAATGAACCTTATTGTAAAGTTTACCATTTAGTTTAAATGTGCAGGGGAGAAATATGAAATATGGGACACAAATATGGAGGACCAAACCAGAAAAAAAAAAAAAAATGTCGATGTGCATGTTTTATGTTGTTGGTATTTTATGTTATTCATATTTATGTTATAATAAAATACGTTATTGTTATTTAAACTTTTTTTGTTATCTAATTGTGCTCAAAGTTGTTTTTCTAATACATTTGTTACTGATGGCCAGTATGTGTCGTGAATAAGTTAACTTTGTCACATTAAAAATGGGTAACATTTTATAAGGTCTCATTTGTTAACATTGCTTAATGCATTAGCTAACATGAACTAACTTTAATTAAAACATTTGTTAACATTAGTAAAAAAAATAAAAAATAGTAGTGCAGGGTAGGCTATATATAAATTATTCAACTTTTAAAATGCCAAATCATGTGCTAAACATTTTGTTGGACATGGGCTATAGTTTTACTCTCAGATGTTTTAATAAAAACACTTGACACTTTTAAGAAAATGTCTCTGAACGTTCGCTCAGTTCAACAACTCAACTCTACCGTAACCCTCACAACCCGTATGGCATAATGGCATAACAATAAGCGTATATGCAGTGTTTTTTTGGGCTATTATACCATGTGCTACTTTAAGTACGCACGCGAGCACGAATCTAACGGTGTTGCGCTTCCTCCAATTCAGCGCCTTTTTAAGGAAACATTCATGCGATTAGTTTGGTTACTTTTACTACCACCATAATAGCATAGTGTTTTTAATCCTGTAAACCATGGACATTGATATTTATGCATGACTTGGTTTTAAAACTTCAAACAAATAGCTTACACTGAAAACTGAAACTGAAAGTACACTGTGATGTATTTAATAGGCTACATAATGATATATAGCATACAAGACATGTTTAAAAAAAGGAAATATCAGACAAAACGTAAGACACAAACTTTTACCTCTCGAAAACATCCCGACAGAACTGATGAGCGGTCATCAAAAGGCAAATTTCATAATCCGTTAAATCTCTTGAGATGACTGGCTCAAACATGTGTTTCAACAAAATATCCGACATGAGTTATAAACGGTTTCATAGGCTATCATAGCTTTTCATTCTCTTCCTCTTTTGCCCATCAAGCTCAATCATGTTGGATAAGCACATTCCATTGTTCAATACAACTTTTTTACTTCCGTAATTTAGCCCAGATGAAATCCTGTATGACGCTCAGACGTCTTAAATGACGATGCATGCTCTGATCTCCTCAAGACTGGATTATTGTAACTCGCTTTATAAGTCAATCGTCCGTTTCTCGACTGCAAACAGTTTAAAATGCAGCAGGTAGACTTTTTATGGGTATATAAAAAAAACGGGAACATATCACCCACATCTTAGTTTTCTGCGTTACATAATTTATTTTAAAATACTCTTATTCGTACAAGTCTTGAATGGTCTCGCACCTTCTGAATATCAGTCTGGAAGAAAGCTGAGATCTGCTAGTCAAAAACTATTACTAGACTAAACCAAAGAGGGGATTGTGCGCCTAAATTTTTGAATACTTTATATTAGAGCCTCCTGTTTTTTTTTTTATATTTGTTTTTCGCTGTTTTTTTTTTTACTGTGTTGTGATGTATGCTTTTTTTTTATTTTTAATTTTATTTTTTTTATGTAAAGCACACTGGTCACCAAGTTTTGTTTTTAATTGTGCTGTACCAATAAAGTGACATTGACATCTAAGGCTGGTTTTTATAAGTCATGGAAATGCAGCTTCAGTGGGTCTGATATTTTCTGCTGATCTGTTTGGTGAGGTGAGTTGCGCAACATAAGATAGCAACGGCTCATTTATTTTTCAGAAAAGTAGGATATGTACGGTGGCCGAGAAGTGCAAAGCAAATCACAATTCTGAAAACAAAATAACAAATTACAAACACAAATGCAAGTCTAAAAAACAAAATAACAATTCAGAAAACACAACGACAAATCCGAAAACAAATTAACAAGTCAGAAAACACAACGACAAATCAGACAAGCCGGAAGAGGTAGGTATAGTTTGAGACAGCGCCATTGGTTTGGGATTACTCACCGCTGACTGGACGAGACATCTGTCAATCAACGTATACAGGGAAGAACCAGCCGAAGAACAGCAGAGTCTTGGTCGAAAGTTCGGAGATGGTATTAAAGTAGCTCAGTTTAAATGTATTGTATGAATTGCCCTTGCTATGCAAAAAAAAATATGGAGTGTATATTTACATTTAGTTAAAAGTGGCTGTAATACATCAGCTCCAGAGGCGCAGATGGATAAACGCGTGTCGTTGGCTTTTTGACGCGATCGACCCGGGTTCGATCCCACCTTTTGCCGAACTTTTTTTTCTCTCCTGCGGCGGCGATGCCACCATACAGCAAGTTACAGAAATCAAGACGTGAAAAAAAAATAGTGTATGGATAAACTCTTTCAAAATCAGTGTTTGACAGGAAGTGTTTGGTTTTAGCTAAAAGACGCAAGTTATAAAAACAAGACCGTACCACAGAATGTATTTGCTTCTACATTTTTAAATTATCTTCAATTTGAAAACCCAAATCTCTTACCGATGTTTTAATATGCTTTAAATGTTTTTATATGTTTTAATTTAAATATGGTGCCAATGGGCTCGAGTCTAAAAGTAATTTGGTAGAATTGTTTGACTGGCCAAAAACAATAACCTCTGTCTTTTCTTCATTTAAAATTAGGAAATTTTCCACCATCCAGTTTTTAATATTTAGACACGCTACACTCTAAAAAATGCTGGGTTAAATACAACCCAGTGCTGGGTTAAATAGGGACAAACCCAGCAATTGGGCTGTTTTGACCCAGCGGTTTGATTAAATGTTAAACCCAACCTTCTGGGTAGTAACCCAACTGCTGGGTCAAAGCAACCCAATTGCTGGGTTTGTCCCTATTTTACCCAGCACTGGGTTGTATTTAACCCAGCATTTTTTAGAGTGTGATATCTGGGTAGTAACCAAACCGCTGGGTCAAAACAACCCAATTGCTGGGTTTGTCCCTATTTTACCCAGCACTGGGTTGTATTTAACCCAGCATTTTTTAGAGTGTAGAAGGGAATCCAAAGATTTTGTTGAGTGTCTTAGTGGTACATAATGATGCATAGGAATAGCAAAGGGGAGAACCATTTCAAATGCATTGGCACAGTAATAATCCACAAAATACTTTTTATGTCATTCCAAAATTAGGAAAAACTTTATGACTCGCTACGAAAAGTTTGATTATTAGAGTTGAATTGTTTCTGTATGTGTGATGTGTTTCTTTAACATTCTCTTTTTTTCTGCATAGCTTTATTACAGGGCAAGACCAACAAACTGTGATATACCTACTGTGATATTTCCAGAAACTGAGAAGCTTTTTTAGAAAACTGAGGTGTCATTTTTCTGATGGTTCATACTTTGTCATGTCCTTTCTTGTGTACTTTTAGAAAATAAACTTAAAACAATATTTTAGGATTTAAGGCAAGACACCACTGATGGATAGGGTCAAATATTTAACTAATAGATATCATGCCATGCATCACTGTAGATGGCAATATTAAGCATATTCTGTTATGATTTTATACTGATGTTTGTGGCCCAATAAAGCATAATTTTTAAAAGTATGATTTACTTCACACAAACATCACTAACAGCGCATTATAAATTCTAATTAATGTGTAAATGTACAAGTAGGCTTCTTGCACTATATTTCATTAAACACACAACAAATTTACAATCATAATTTACTACATTAGAACTCATTTAAATGTGCAGTATTTCAGAAAGGGCAGAAAATGAGTGGAGTACATGTTTGTGATCTTGCTGCACATTAACCATCTGGCATTTTTAGCCATTTAAACATTAACAAAGCCTGTTCCTGCCTCAAACGGTAACTGTAAAACAAAGTTTAAAATAAGAAATAAAGTCTCATTATGAGATATAAAGCTGCAATTATGAAAAAAAAAAGAAAAAAAAAAGATATACCCTTGTGAAAACGAAGTATACGCTACATTTTAAAAGAATATACTTAAGTGTGAACTGAATGTGATGTTTTTATTAATTGCATGTTTTAGAGTTGCCATATAAATTATTTATAGTTGAATCTTTCCTGTGGGAATTTTTACCCTAAGGCTCAGTTGAAATTATGTTGTAATTGTCTTTTCATTTAAATTAATTAAGAACAGTAAACTTTTTTTTTTTTTTGTAATCAGTATCAACTATTTTGTACTAATATTTATATTTTAAAATGACTAAAGGTTTCTTGTCTTGTCACATTCAGTTATGAATTACTTGAATCACGTAAATGTTTCATCCTATATTTTCAATTCAAAACTGTAAAATAAAAAAAATAAAAAGTCCAGTAGTTTGCATCACAGGATATTACTGTTGGTAATTTTACATTTATATGTAAAACATTTGTCAGATATTAAAATGCATATCAAAGAAAGATTGCCTTTTTTTGATTGGCCATCTTAGTCAAGCCCATAAAATATGCCCATGATCAGCCATTATTATTGATCCACCTTATCTCCAACAATGTTCTTGATATGTTACTCGGCTTTCACTGGATGACATAAAAAAAGCAAATACTTTTTACAACAGAATGGTCGACATCTCGGCCTGGATCTTGGGGTGATCCTTGATGATCGGCTAACCTTTAAATATCACATTGCAAAAACAGCACGATCATGCAGGTTTGCACTACACAACATTAGAAAGATCAGGCCCTTCCTAAAAGAAAATGCATCACATCTTCTCGTCCAGGCCCTTGTCATTTCCAGGCTATACTATTGCAATGCTCTTCTGGCTGGACTTTCAACATGTGCATTCAGACCTCTGCAAATGATTCAGAATGGAGCAGCACGTCTTGTTTTCAATGAGCCCAAGAGAGTCCATGTCACACCGCTTCTCGTCTCTCTGCACTGGCTTTCAGTTCAATTAAATTCAAGTTTATTTGTACAGCGCTATTCATGATACAAATCGTTGCAAAGCAACTTTACAGCAAATTAAGTTTCTACAATATTTAGTAGTAGCTTATCAGTGGTGACTGTCAGTTAATGTACATATGGCAGAAATGTACGGACAAATCAATTAAAGACGTAATCAAACAGACGATGAACACTATTAACAGCAATTATTATGTACACAGGAGCTAACCCATTAAGGGCCCACTAATAATTTATTATTATTTATTATTATTACTAATAAAGGTAAGTAATAATATTTTGTAACTGATACGGAACTTAGTAGGTAGCCAGTGCAGAGACTGCTAAAGTAGTACTAAACTAAAACTACTAAAAACTAAAGTCTCTAACCCAAAGAGATATTCTTTATAAAAGTTAAGACTGGTCCACGCCCTCCTAAAGCACCTAATTTAAACACGCCCCCACATGTCTACATCACGATGTGGGAAGATTTGCATAACGCCGGCCAAATGTTTACGCAAAGAAAGAAGGCGTAACTTTTATTCTCGCTGTAGTATTGTTGTTGCACGCCGCCATGTCGTGAAGGCGCTGTGTTTCGTTGTGAAAGCAAAACTACTTTGTTCGGCCTTCCAATAGTTCTGCCCGGACAATAACGCTGTCACGCTCTTGCTGTGCCAGCGAACAGGCAGGACGACGAGGATGCAGGATACAAGAACACTTGAATAAATTCACAATAGGAGCACACGCACAGGGTAACATTCACATCGACATTGACAATAACCGACAAACTAGACTACAAGAGGCAGGAACTAATATAGGGCAGATAACGAGGGGCAGACAGGTGAGCACAATAAGGTGATTAACTGATAATGAGGACAGGAACAACCAAATAAGGACACAGAGGGAGAAACCACAATAGACAGTCCAGGAACAGGAGCCCTCCGTGGGCTAAACTCAGGAACAGGAGCCCTCACTGGGCTGGAAGTGGGAACTGCAGCCCTATCTTGACGCTGGTCTGGGGCTAGAGCCATCTCTCGACTCTAGACAGGGGATAGAGCCAACACTGGAGCGAGCTCTGGGGCTGGAGCCGACACTGGAGCGAGCTATGAGGGGTGCTCTCGGGCGAGGAAGAGGGCAGTGAGCCATCCATTTCTCCTCATCCTCCCCTTCTGGTTACGGGTGAATAGGGCGGCCGGCGGGCTTGACTGATGAACGGCCGGAGGGCTCGACATCGGCGCAGCCGGCGGGCTTGCCACAGGAACGGCCGGCGAGCTTGAGAATGCCGCGGCCAGCGGGCTTAATACAGGAACGGCCGACGGGCTTGTCTGCTGAACGGCCCGCATTTCTGGGCTGAGGACAGAGACGGTGCTGGGAGGAGATGGGTAACCGGAACGTTTGGATGGGTAT